TTTTTTCGTACCTTCAGGGCACCAGTGAAGTCCACACCAGTTACAATAAAAGGAGGTTCTTCTCTCAATCTGTCTTTAGGTAAAGGCGGCGCTTCTGGAATGGGATAAGGTTTTCCCATGATTTTTCTGCATGTAATGCATTTTCACAATACAGATTTTACACTCTGGCGAATTCTTTGTATCCAGTAATTCTGTCTCAACAATGTGACTGTACTATTGACACCTGAGTGCAAATTTCTTCTATGTGCATCTAAAATAATCAATGTGGTCAGTTGATCATTTGGCGGTAGGAGTATTGGATGCTTTGCTGTTTTGCTGATTGGTGCATTTTGTATTCTCCCTCCACATCGGATCAGTTCCTCATTGTCTAGATATAATTTCAGTTGTTTTGATAGACAATTTTTAGATTTTCCATCTCTTTGTAATTCTCCAAAAATATCTGGATAGTTTTTCTGTTGAGCATTTATAATCCATATCAGTGAGCTTTGTTCAATTTCTGAGACTGTCTGTGGACCTGTAACTTTTTGTTTTTTGGAACAGTTTTGTATGAATCTTAGGACATAAGAGGTAACATTCAACAATTTTCTGTAATTGTTAAACTTTGAGATATCAATAATTTCTGAAATTTTTTGTTCTCTGGCGCCAAGCTTGACGTTTCTCTTTTCTTGTGAGTCTTCTTCCTGGTATCCACATTTCTCAGATTCTGTTATGTTTGCAAGAATATGACTTTCTGTTTTGTCATATATGGGCCACTTGTTTGTGTCAGTAATCCAAGTTGGTCCTTTTGACCACAATTCATTCTTCCTAAATCTGTCGAAGTCAGTACCGCGAGATAAAATATCAGCAGGATTTGAGGTTGTTGGACAGTATCTCCATTTGTACTGTTCAGTTAACTTCTTGATTTCTTGTATTCTGTTCCTCACAAATGTACCCAAAGTTTTTGTTGTTTCCAACCAGCTCAAGACAATTTGACTGTCTGTCCATAAGACTGCTTCTGAAAACTGGATGTTTTTCTTGATGAATTTTAATAATCTAGCTCCAAGTAATGTTCCCATTAATTCCAGTTTAGGTATTGTAAGTGTTTTTAATGGGGCAACTCTGTTTTTGGCCATAATTAGTGAACTTTGGTCTCCTGAAACAATGTATGCACATGCTCCGTAGGCCTTGATGCTTGCATCACTGAATATGTGTACAGTCGTTTCTGGTGGGTTTTCATGAATACATATACGAGGTATTTCCAAGGAGGTAGCTTTTTCTGTGTTCTGTGTAATTTCAATCCACTTGTCAGCTAGTTCCTGTGGCAGTTTTTGATCCCAGTCTATTTTCTTCTTCCACAACTCTTGAATAAACATCTTTGCCTTGACTGTTATCGGGCTAATATATCCTAAAGGATCATATATTTTTGAAGATTGTTTCACCACTTCTCTTTTTGTTACACTGTTTTTCTTTGTGTTGGCTATTTCTTGTTTAGCAAAGGTTAGAGTATCCTCTTTGACATTCCATTTCATTCCTAAAACTTTGACAACACTGTCCTTGTCTAACACTCCATCCTTCTTAGCATGCTCTTGTAGGATTTCACTGTTTGATCCCCATGATCGAAGGTTAAATCCAGCTTTGGCAAACAAAGTACGAGAGCAGTTGTAGAATGAAATTAATTCATTTTCTGTTGGAAAACTTGAAATTATGTTGTCAACATAAAGGTTTTCTGTTAACTTCTGTGTCCATGTAGATGCATTCTCCTTTAAATGCTTCATCAGAACAGCATTTAAAATGAATGGGGAACAAGTAGCTCCAAATAAGACAGATTTAAATCTGTAGTTCACTAACTGTCCATTAGGATTTGTGGGTTCATCAAACCAGAAGAATCTTGTAACATCTCTGTCTTCCTCTTCTAATCCTACATTTAAGAATGCTTTTTCGATGTCTGTTGTCACTGCGTATTTGTTGAGACGAAATCTTAGTAATATCGAAGCAATATCATTCAATTGTGGTGGGATGTTCATTAAGCAATCATTCAGAGATGCAGTGTTAGGTGTTTCATGACAGCTACAATCGTATACTATCCTTACAGGTGTTGTAACTGAATCCTTTTTTACTGGGAAATGCAGTATGAAGTGAACTTTACGATTTGTTGGAAGTTCGCTGTCTACCTTTTCTATGAATCCGCGTCTCTCCTGTTCAGCAATTATTTCCCCATATTTGATTAGCATTTTGGGTTCCATTTTGAGGCGATTTATAACACTGACCATTCTATGGTATGCTTTATCTTTATTTAAGGGCAATGTAGGATGGTCCTCTTTCCATGGGAGCCTTACATGGTAGCGATTGTCTTGAAATCGTATGGAATCCTTCTCATATGATAGGTGAAAATCCTGGTTACTTGATTCCTCATACTCTTTCTCAGTTCCAATTGCCTCAATCTGCCAAAACTTCTCAATATTGTGTTCCTCCATTTTGTGTGACACCATAACATTCATCATTGATGTGTTGTATTCAACTACATGGAATTGTGATCCATATAATGGTCCGGAAAGTAAATATCCAAGTTTGGATTTGATGGCTGTTGGACCCTTTCCTCTAACTATCTCATCCTCCACCAAATTCCAGTACTGATCTGCTCCAATAAGTAATTCAATTTGGAATGCGTCATCTTGGGCAACAGGATGTGCCAATCTCAAATTCCTTAAATGCGATAATTTTGCTGCAGTCTCTAAATGCGTTTTAATTGGAGCTGCTATCTCTGGGACCACCAAGACTTTGACAGGTATTTCTTCTCTCTGTATAGTTTGGACCTTGATTAGAGCTGTCTGTAACTTTTGAACTCTTTTCTCTTTTCCTGAATCCCCAAATCCAAGAATGTTGATATCCTCATATCCTGTTGGTGTTAATTCTATCTTGTCAGCCAAACTCCTAGAGATAAATGATCTCTGAGCTCCTTCATCAAACAGAATATTAGCATCAGTTGTTAATTTTCCAAATGTGACAGGAGCAACTGCAGTTTGTAGCAAAACATTTGGTTGATCTCTATGTGAAGATGAGTGCATCACTGATGTTTCAGTTCTTTCTGTAATCTTTGATTGAAATGAAGGGGTACTCTCCTTAATGGGTTTGACTTCCTCGTGATTTGAGCACAAACTTGTGTGGTGACGTTTTTTGCAAGTTTTGCAATTGAATTTAGATTGACAATCTGCAACACGATGCCTGCCTAAACAGTTAAAACATAACTTGTCTCGTTTGACGATTCTCATGCGGTCATTGAAATTTTTGTATTTTGTACAATCATTTGAACGATGCAACTCCTTGCAAAATGCACAGGATACCTGAGGTTTCCTAGGACTAGAGTTACGTTGAAGTCGCTTGTTACTGGACTTTGAGTGGGTATAAAAGGTAGCTGTTGCGCTTGGTTCTGTTGCACCAATACTTGCTCCAGCTTCTAATATTTCAAGTTCCCTGTAAAGACTATTTCTCAAGTCACCTAATAACCAATTGGTGGATCCATGCTCACGAGCCAAATTTTTGCGTAATTCACTAGGTAATTTATTAAGAATCACAGGTACAAAAAGTGAACCATATGTTTCTTGAGCTTGACCATAGGATTCCAATCCTCTGACATATGTCTCCACTTGGTCATGAAAATGACGAAGGCTTGTGAGATTATTCTTGGGAGCAGGTAGTTCTAAAAGTGCTTGCATGTAGGACTGAATTATCTTGTGTTTTTGTCCAAACCTTTCGTGTAGAAGCTCAATCACTCTGTTGTAATTGGAATGTGTGAGTGCAAATCCTGCAATGGTGTTTGATGCCTCTCCCTCTACTAAAGACTTTAAGTAGTTCTGTACTTCAGTCAACGTGTTGTTGCTATGAATAGCTGAATCAAATGAATCCCAGAATGACTGCCACTCCAACATATTTCCCTCAAAAATAGGCAAGTTCAGTTTTGGTAATTTGTGAAAGTTAGAACTGTTACTGGAATTGGAATTAGAATGAAAGCTTATAGCTCTGGAATTTTCACTGAAATTATGTGATGACTGACCATTCTCTCCGAATTGTGAATTCTCATTGTGGTGTGAGTAACTGGTGGCAGTTGCATTTAAACTTGATTTCTGTACTAACAGTTGTTTTTTAAATTTCCGCATTTTAGAATTTAGATTCAAATTGTACTCATCTGTCTCCAGTATTTCTTTCTCAGTTTCCTCCTCTGCTGTTTCTGTTAAGATTTTTTCATCAAGATCTCTGAGAACTTCTTGCTTTTCTGTCAGTGTCTCCAAAATTGTTTCCATATCCTCAGTATTTTCTTCAGAGTCATATTCTTCTAGTCTTTTTAAAAGTCTAGTTACTGCACTTCTTTGTCCTGCTCGGACTGCCTTGAGTTTAGAAATCATTACTCCCTTTGGTCACGGCACCAATGTTAGGAATGTAGCTTAAGTAAAACACCTCTGTATCGTATAGTGGTTTATTTTGAACTACCTCTTGTTGTATACATAATGTCATAGCCACCTCTATGACGTCATAGCATTATGACGTCATAGTTCAGTAAAAGTCATTTAATTAAACATGCTAAATCAAGGTAAATTAAGAAAGTACTAATGTCCATATTTCACAACAGTATTTTTATTGTATAAAACGGAAGCACTTACATGTATACTGAGCTCAAAGCTTGTTTAAAAATCATCCAAAAAATAAGGCAGTTGTAAAATTAAGATAAAAATATCTTTATTTAGTATAATATAAATTTTATATCATTGCCTTCAACCAAGTAGAGGTTCATAAAGGCTTTCAATTTTTACAAAGGAGTACTAAGATCAGAAGAAAAAAAATGTGGCTGAGAAAAAAAATAATTGCATTGGACACTGGTGACTTTCAAGGTCCATGGGCCTCTCATTGTGGTCAAAGTTAGAATCCCAATTTTCATTGCCGTATTTTAAAATTTGCTTTTGGATGCAAGTCCATATATATCATCTTTATTGGTGACTGCCAAGTGAGTAAACTTGTTCTGGTTTCAGGGATTTTGTGTTGCCATTTATTTGGTTAAGAAATTGACATCAGATACCCTGCTGGGCCGATTAAAGCAGTTTGGTAACCGCCATGCAGACCATACCAGAGCTTTAAGTATGTTGTTATCCATTTATTTAATTTAACTTTCTAGTGAATGTTTTGTACAATTATTTTCATCACTCACCCACATATATGTATATATCAAAATTATTTGTGGATTTAATTTACAATTTGAATTGGGACAGTCAGGTGTGAAAATGTATCATGTGAAATCCATGTTTTATATAGACAAAAATCATTTGCTACAAAGATACCAAGATTAGGAAATCGGTAATGATGGATTCGATAGTGCATGTATTTATATTGGTGAGATTTCTGTATATTGTTAAGAGATTTATTAATCATCTTTTTTCAGTTAAGGAGAAGCTTTCTCATGATCCAGACAGTGAAATAGCTACCACTAGTCTCAGGGTCTCTCTCACTTGTCCAGTAAGTCTCTGTTTGCAACAGTTCAGGTTTTAATTATTGAATGATGTTATAATGCTTGAAATCAAGATCAACAATAAAAATTAATTCATTTGCTAAACTCTTGACTGACCTGACAAAATCATCCCTACTTGACCTTTTTATTTTTTCAGTAGTTTTTTTTTCCTTGGAAAATATAGATTGTCTATATCAGTTTTAAAGTTAATATTTATTATTTCTCTTTAATACTTTAGATGGAAAGTTTTTCCAGGTATTCATTTTCTTAAATGAATACCTGTTCAAGCAAATCAATCAAGAAAGTGCTATGAATTTAACATTTCTCTACAGCTGGGTAAGATGAGGATGACTATACCCACACGCGCCAGCACGTGTACTCACCTTCAGTGCTTCGATGGTTCAACATTTCTGATGATGAATGAGAAAAAGTCCACATGGATTTGTCCTGTCTGTGATAAACCGGCACCTTTTCATCGCCTATTTATTGATGGGTAAAGATTGAATTAAATTTGTAAATCCGTTTATCAGCCACCACAAGAAAATTTTATGAAATGCAATGATCCATGTACAGTATGTATAGGAGGAAAAAATTCCATATGTTGAGACTGAATTTACATTTGTTTGGCTTACGCTGAGCAAAACTAAATAAAAAGCATGGTGTAGGGGTATAGGCTATATCAGGATATGATTATGATCTTCTAAATTTGCTTCTCAGACAAAATCATTACGTGTCTTACTTAATGATCTATTGATACTGTATGTAAATAAGTTTAGAAATAAGTATTCTGCTTGATTTGGGTTGTTTGCTTATAAGTGATAATCAGTCATGCAGATCAGTACAGAATGGATTCAGAAGCAATACTGACTCCTCGACATTTTTTGACTAGGTTGTTTGTGGAGATTTTACAGAAGACATCTGACATGAATGAAATACAGTTCCATGAAGATGGTTCCTGGAGTCCACTGAAAGCCTCCAAGGAAACCCATGTGATATCCTGTAGTCCGGCTGCCCACAAGTCCGTACAGAAAGAATCCAAATCAGCCTCCATTTCAGGTAGGTAGTGCTGAGAAGTATTGTATTCCACACCCAAGATTATTGGATTGTCATAGAAAAAAAAGGGGGGGGGGTATGTACAAGCTTTGTTTACTTTAAAGTTTACACACACAAAATTAGCTCGACATTTCAGAAAAGTATTATCCTGAAAGTGAATTGAAACTTGTCTTTCTTAGACTGGTCTGATGGGCTCTGTTTGTACATGTGGAATATTAAATAATAACTTCAAAGTATGATTATGTGTTTAGTGTTTAATAAGAGCAGATTTTCTCTCTAAGTGCAACATGTTATTGTAGTTTATAGAAGTTTGCAACTAAATCCAAGACCGCAGAAATAACGGGTCTGCCCATTTGTTGTAGGACCAGCTCCAAAGAAGCCTAAGATGGAAGTGATAGACTTAACAGTGAGTTCTGATGAGGAGACTGATTCTGAAAGTGAATGTGATTCACCACAGCCAATGTCATCAACTGCGTTTGTTGACTCTAGTCCTAATGTCATCAGTCTTGACTCACCAACTCCCGCACCGTCTACAGCATCGCCATCTTGTGACTCTCCCATGGTGGCATCACCATCATCCAATTCAAATTCATCATCATCCTCATCATCCTCATCTTCATCATCCTCCAGCACACCAAAGCAACCACCCTCACCACAGAAATCTCAAACAGGAACCCCAGTAAGTGCCCCCCTCTCAGCTCCCCAATCAGTAAGCTCCCTGTCCCCAGCCAGATCTTCGCGGCAGTCCACACCTGCCCTTGCTACTAGTCCTCGCCCTCTGCCCACTCCCTCACCTCCTGGACAACCTTTGATCCACTCCCCTTTAGGAATTAGAATTTCTCCTGTGACACCCCCCTCCAGTACCCCAATTTTACCTCCCTTCCAACCAATTCCGGCCCCACTGTCATTACCCAATCCACCATATCCCCATTATCCACCCCCTCCCCAAATACAAAATTATGATCCCAACTTGGATAGGGAGATAGAAGACTTTTTACGTGGAATTGTATGGGACCAATATAGATAGTTTTAATTTTTAAAAAATGAATGGTGTAGAATGAAAGGCATTGAATGGTGTTTAAGTTTTCAAAAACAAATTAAAACAGTTCTTAGAAAACAGTGCTACAGATTGAATTTCTCAGGACTTTGTTGCAGATTGGTTAAAATAAATTCAGTTATGTAGCTTTCTCCCCTAGATTTATTAGCAAAGAGTATTATTACTTTCTTACACAATCAGCTTATGTTGAAATTTAATTAAAAGTCATTTGAAAATTCTATCTAAACCAGAATACTGTCTATTTGCTTAAATATTTAGAGTCAAATTAAATGATAAGAGATTTCTGCATATATTTTCAGGTAATGTAAGCTGACAGAAATATGTGTTTAGTTTTTTTTTTTTAATTTTAAGAATTTCCATATTATGATAAAAAGTTGAAGCAAGTGCACCAAGAATCTAAAAAAAAAAAAACAATTAAATTTTATCATTTTAATGAGACATTGTTAAGGACCTAGACTTTGCAATCATTTCATTACACATCTTAATGGTTTCAAACTAACATTGCTTGTACTCATTTCTCCATGTTTTCTCATTTGATATATTAATTTATTTTGCACGAGTTAAATGTTTCATTTCACTCCCATTTATTTCCTGAATGAGGTGTTCTCGGTTTAAACTGCTGACTTCTAATTTCACATTGCTTTCTTAACGTACTTGATAAATATTTTGTAAATTTCTAATCTTAACTGAGATTTTTCTCTTTTTTGGATAAGATCTAGAAAATAGATGTAACTTGTATGTAATTATTGCCATTTTCTTTTTGATTATTCTTTTTTCCATAAAAAAATCTTGCATGTGAATTGATTGTCTAAATGTTAAAGCTGTGATGAAGAATACCTCAATCATTTCATTTGACTTTGCACCTGCATTGATTTATTTGACAAAATGTATCACTATGTACAGAAAGTGTATCACAAGACATTAGATACAAAGGGGATCATTCTACATATGTACTGTATATAAAAACTGGTACTATTCAAATTGTGAAAGCCAAAGGGTTCAGCATTTTTTGTTCAATTTCAAACAGTACAATTTGAATCGTCATGTTTAAAATTTCTGTTGTTTAACAGATCGTAGAATTTTGTTTTAAAGTTAAATTTTGCAATATAAGCGAGAAATTCTAAATTTTAATTTTATAAATTGTGTACATCATTGTGCTATTTTCAAGATTATTTGTAAAGAGAAAAATAACTTTAAGAGTAAATCTGTAATCCTTTTTTTCTCCATTATTTTCATTTTCCATCCTTGTTTTTTGTCATGAACATATAAACATAAGATCACATTTGAATGGAAGACATTGCTTTTCATATTTTAAAAAAAAGTATTTAATGAAGTCCAAGAATAATTGTACGTTTAACAATACAGTACTTTATTTGTTTCATTTTGTTTGTATTAAAACTATGATTTTATTTATACAAGTATTTATTGTTGAACTTGTTTGAATTCAGTAAAATGTTTAAGTCATAAGGTGTAAAATATGTAAAAATTGTCAATGCTCTGTGACAAATGTACCCTAAACGAGTTGTTGTTATTAAAATTGTGAATATTTATATTTTTGTCCTCCTTATTAAGAATTCTTGTGAATGATGAAAGACATACATATACAGTTTACTTTAAAATCATTGAACTGCTGTTCAAATTGATTAAGATGGTCAAGTCTGTGAGATGACAAAATTGTGATCTGTTAAAGTTCCCTTTCTTCTGAACCGTTCTTTGAACAAGGTAACACAACTCCTGTCACCTACATGAGCAGTCCAGTACCAGAGGTGGTGCTTAAGTCCAATTTACCTATTGTAAGTTTGTATGTGATGTGACACCCAAAACCAAATACATAAGTAGTCCAGTACCAGAGGTGGTGTTAGGTCTTAGATAAGTAGTTTAGTACCAGAGGTGGCACAATGGTCTACATAAGCAGTCCAGTACCAAAGGTGGTGCTAAGGTCTAGATAAGTAGTTCAGTACCAGAGGTGGTGCTAAGATCTGCATACGTAGTCCAGTACCAAAGGTGGTGCTAAGGTCTAGATAAGTAGTTCAGTACCAGAGGTGGTGCTAAGATCTGCATAAATAGTCCAGTACCAAGGGTGTTGCTAAGGTCTAGATAAGTAGTTCAGTAGCAGAGGTGGTGCTAAGATCTGCATGAGTAGTCCAGTACCAGAGATGGTGCTAAGATCTGCATTAGTAGTCCAGTACCAGAGGTGGTGCTAAGGTCTAGATAAGTAGTCCAGTACCAGAGGTGATGCTAAGGTCTACTTAAGTGGTCCAACACCAGAGGTGGCACTAAGGTTCGGTCTACCTAATAATGAAAGGACTATATTTAGCCAAAGGGATTCAAAGAAACCCACAAGATCATTAGGACACTTTCTACTTCTTAGATTTGAGTGTCTCTAAATTTCTGCTGCACATGCAGGTCAAAATGTAAAGTGATTTTTTTTTTGTTCATTTTTTTAGGGACCTGTGCATATTTTTATCTAAAATAAACATCTTGTTTGTAATTATTAATCAGATCTTGAAGAGTCCTGTTTATGGATAGAGAGACCCCTAATTGATGGGGGGGGGGGGGGGGGACAACCGATCCCTCACCTGAACTGCTGTAAAGTTTTTTTTTATCTACTTTTCAAATCGAAAGACATGGTGGTTCCTCTATGTACTGGTACTTGAGATTTTAGAAGATTTTGAAATGTTTGAAAGATGGAATATACATCTAATGATAACTTTGAAGTTTCTGTTGCACAAATTTGAGAGATTCTGACTCAAGGTATTAAGTTACTGTACTTGCATACAAAACTGATGTACTGTATACAGTACTAACGTACTGTATGTATATAATACTGATTTACTATATACAATACTGATTTACTGTATACAGCACTGATTTATTGTACTCAAAATTTTGGAAAAATAAAAGGAAATAAATGTTAATACACCTATTGAAGACAAAATAGTGCTGTATTTCACAGCAGCTCTTTGTTCCTTTTGTTAAAGTTGCATGAAGTTTTTTCTTAACCCCCTCCATCCCTAACATGACAGACAGGCACACTGTATTTAACAGACTTTTTAGCCCTCAGTTGATGTCGGTTAAAAACTTTCAACACCTTAAAGTGAACTGTGATCAACAGCCATTTACAACTGGAAGCAGTTATGCTGTGACTTACCCTGTGTGCTGTGATGTTCAAAGATTCACACTCAACATCAAGTAAAACCCCTGGAACATGAAACAGAGTCCATTTCCTGTTTCAAACGCAGCTACTAGCTTCAGGACTTGTCTCAACATTAAAACAGAGAGGACTCATAAAGGTGCAGTACTGTGAGATTTTTTTTACTCGATGCAGTTGTGTATTTGAGTTGTGTCCCTTACCATACAGAAAAGAAAACAACAAAAATTCTATATTTATGAACTTCATCATGTAGTCTATTATTATTTTAAAAGAATTTGGCATGCAATTTTTATTAAAATTTTATCTGTTGAAACTTGATAATAACTTCACTACATTGCTAACATGGGTCTATTTAATGGACTAAACTTGCTCTTCTGTTGTGGATTGGGGGAGTGGGTTTTAGAATTTTAAAAAATATTTCTGTACTTTTTTTAAAAAAGAAAAAAACACTCAGTAGGTCTGTTACAAAGTCAAAATATTTTGATAGTCCGCATACAGAAAGGCAAATCACGTGACTAAAATTGATGACTTTCATGACATTAAAACATGCATATGGACAATCAAACTATGACAATTGTGAGAAAATTCCTGGTACATATTGTCAGATTATTCTGACCAAGTTTCTACCAGTTTTTGTAATGGGTCAATCTAGTAATTTAAAAAAATTATAAAAATTCTCAAAATTACCTTATTTTGTCTCAGGGAAATTACCACATTTATCACTGTATGGTGGTTTTAAACCAAGTTTTTTCCCATTGAAGTCATGTTAATTGCCATGCAAGTAGTGGTTCATGGACAAAAAACTTAGGATTCATAATCTTTATTGAATTTTTTTTAATCATGGTAGACATTTTTTTTTTCCGACTGGAATAAATTCTTTTACAATTTAGTGTCCA